CCAACCTGAAAATTTGTGAATGATGTTTTTCAAGTTACTGACACATCCGAGATGAAATTACAATACCAAATGACTCCTGACGATCTCCCCCCCCTCCCCCCCCCAAAAAAAAGGAAGCATAGGAAAAAGCATTTGCAGAAGCAACTGCATTCTGCTGGCCCTGAAACCAGAGCTTACTTACAGAAGGTTACTGAAAATCAAAATGAGAAATGCAGATTCCCCTCCGTGCATCAAAATTTTTGGAAAGATCATCCTTAGACAGGGATGGCCAGTTGGGTTTTTTTTTGGGTTTGGTTTTTTTTTTTGCCAGTTTTCAGCCAGCTTCTGACCTACTAAGCACAGAACTGAATTCATAAGGCTTCAAGATGTAACAATCGGAAAACCAGTTCTTAGCTGCTGCCACTAAAGAAGCACGAGATGGAATCCCCGAAAGTGCCAAGCTTTACCTAAATGACCACCAGTGCAATCTCTAATTCCGTCTGCCAACTTTTTGACCTACAGACAGAAACAGAGTCAAAAAGCACCTCTCTCTTCATGCAGCCTCCAAGCTCATTTCAGCAGAAGACTCGTTTGCTTTCAAAGGAATGAAGTGATTTAGTAATGGTATATTCTGCTTTGGAACAGGTTCCACAGAAAGTAATATTTATGCTAGTTTCAAGTCCTGCTACTCACTCTACTCTTAAATTTTATGGAACAAATTTGCAGGCCTACTAGCAATTTCCAAATCCTCACCATTTTCTTCAGTGTACTAATAAAGATTTTGAAGCCTCATCTAAAAAAGAATGATGCATCTTGTGCACAAAAAAAAATAAAAATGCACCTTGTGTGGATACTTACATACATGGTGTGCCAGACCAATAGGTTTTTCCAACTCACTTGAGGAAAAAAAAAAACCACCACAAAACAAAAAACCACACCACTGGTGGACTGACTTTGACTGGATGCCAGGTGCCCACCAAGCCGCTCTATCATTCCCCTTCCTCAGCAGGACAGAGGAGAGAAAATACAACGAAAAGCTCCTGAGTGGAGATGAGGAAGAGATCACTCAGCAATTACCATCATGGGCAAAACAGACTCAACTTGGGGAAATTAATTTAGTTTATTGCCATTCAAAACAGAGTAGGGTAATGAGAAATAAACCCAAATGTTAAAACACCTTCCCCCCACCCCTCCCATCTTCCCGGGCACAACTTCGCTCCCCATTTCTCTACCTCCTCCCCCCCAAGTGGCACAGGGGGATGGGCAATGGAGGTTGTGGTCAGTTCTTCGCACATTGTCTCTGCTGCTCCTTCCTCCTTGGGGGGAAGACTCCTCACACTCTTCCTCTGCTTCAGTGTGGGGTCCCTCCCACGGGAGACAGTCCTTCACAAACTTCTCCAACATGAGTCCTTCCTGCGGGCTGCAGTTCTTCATAGACTGCTCCAGCATGGTTCCCTTTCATGAGGTGCAGTCCTTTGGGAACAGACTGCTCCAGCGTGGGTCCCCTAGAGGGTCACAAGTCCTACCAGCAAACCTGCTCCACTGTGGGCTTCCCACGAGGTCACAGTGTACTTCAGGCATCCACCTGTTCTGTTGTGGGGTCCTCCATGGGCTGCAGGTGGATATCTGCTCCACCATCATCCTCCACGGGCTGCAGGGGGACAGCCTGCCTCACCATGGACTTCACCAGGGGCTGCAGGGGAATTTCTGCTCCGGCACCTGGAGCACCTCCTCCCCCTCCTTCACTGACCTTGGTGTCTGCAGAGCTGTTCCTCTCATGTATTCTCACTCGTCTCTCCAGCTGCTGTTGCGCTGTAGGGGTTTTTTTCCCCTTCCTCACAGAGGCGCTACCACCATCACTGATGGGCTCAGCTTTGGCCAGTGGTGGGTCCGTCTTGGAGCTGGCTGGCATTGGCTCTGTCAGACATGGGGGAAGCTTCTAGCAGCTTCTCACAGAGGCCACCCCTGTAGCCCCTCTGCTACCAAAATCTTGCCACATAAACCCAATACATTCTACTCATTGCCTCCGTGAATCACATATGTAAGAATTATCATTAAAATCCACATTCCTCACATAATCCTCACTACCTTCACACATCAACAAAAAAAGAATTCCCTGCACCAAAATCACATTATCACAACACTGAATGAAAATGGGTAATTTACACACAATCCACCTCTCATCCCTTCACCACAATTACAACAGAAATTCCCCACGATCATTCCACTTTTCACTCTCTAGCTGTGTTCAGTCCATGTTTTGCCAGTTATCCCTCCCAATTACTATCCTTATTACATCCTATCACATGACTTCAGAGTTTGGGGTTTTTTTGTTTGTTTTTTTTTTTTTTTAAATACATTAGAGAAAATTCATGAGCAAATCTGCATGTTTTGCTAATCCCTTCATGCCGACAGGAAGCTCTTCATAAAATAGCCATCAGTACTTTCTCTATTACAGCCAATCTGCAAAAGTATTTGTTACTGACTATAGGAAACAGTCAAATTTTAATCCTGAATTACTTTCACTTTCAATACATATTTAGTTATTTTTAGTTCTTCTTACTACAAAACCCCATACGGAAAAAAAAAAAGACATGAAATCATATTGTACTGAAGGTTTTATTGATGGCTAAACTGCTGTCACTTAAATCAGGCATAGCACTTTTAATTCTTATAACAGGACTAAAAAGAAACTGGCTATTAAAGATTTACTTCTGTAAGCCTTTAAGTTGCCAAAGACATACTGTTCTGCACAACTTCCATGCTGCCAGCAAGTGACAGCATTCTAGCTGCATAGCTTACATTGTATGCTTCAGTCCACAGCAAAGAGTGATCTCAAAATTTATCACTTTTACCAGTAACTTTCCTGAATTACGTTACAACCAAAAATCATTTTCTTACTTCTTTGCAATTATGTACAGTACAAAACAAAACCCAAGGTTTGTGGTAGAAATGTGTATGATTTGATCATATACAGAAGACAACATCAAGTTTTACGAAATAAATGGCAGTAATTATTTTCTGAAATTAGACTCCCGTTCAAGATTACTTTAACTGACATTGCAGTGCGACACTTTCCAGAAGCATGAAAAATACATCCAATGGGCCAGATCCTCCTCTTTCGCTTCACCTTATGGCTTACATGGACAAATCTAATGTCACTGTGTATCCTACACGATCCAATATATGTGTATCACAACTCGCTATCTAGGCTTACTTTGCACTACAGATGCACTTAAATGAAATCAGATAATCTTGATGTGTCATAAATAATACTTATAGAAGTATCTGTGATGATATTCACATGACTGTCAAGTGGAAGAAAAAAACTGCTGGGAAGGAAACGAACATGCAAATCAAATGTTAAAGAATACAATTTTTTTTAAAAAATAGTCACGCTTAGAACAGACAGCATATTATAGAACCAAAAAGGAGAAGTATTATTCCAAATAGCAGCACGTAGCCTTTAATTTGCAAACCAAATCTTTACTCGGGGCACAAAAAGGATGTCTTGGCAAGCACTGCCCAATGCTAGCAGCTTCCTGCAGAAGTGCAGGGACGCAACACAGGTTCTGCAGGAGACTTTTCTAATCTCTCTTCAAAGCAATAAACAGTGGAATAAATGCAGTTTTTAAAGGCAGTGCCAGTATAGAAAAGACACGCTAGAACTGTGAGCCAAAACCTCTAATTTCCCCTTCCTGATTCCAAATTATCAGAAGAAATAGACACTTCTAATAAAAAACCCAAACAAAACACAACCACAAACAAGAAAAAAAAAACAAACAAAAACCCACCCCCTTTTTCAGGTAAGTTATTCCTCTCCATTCTGGTTTCCTACAGAAGATTTCACTGTAAGCAAGAAAATCCTGTGTAACACCAATGCTTCATTGACTTCTGGAATGAAGCATTAGCAACGGTATAAAACATGCATAAGCCACCACCTGTATTTTTTCCCCAGTTATGTTAGTTAAAATGAAAATAGATGTAATAAAGATGTAGAAAAAATCAAATTATCATCCAAATAAAAGATGCTTAATCCAACTTGTAAATACTAAATACTCCCCCTCCCTTTTTTGTGAAGATGCTTCAGACAATAGCTATCAACAAGAATTCAGTTATTTATGCAGCGTGGACTTCCTTAAAACAACATTGTCAAACATTCAAATTATAAACAGAAGATCTTCTGCACATTACAAAAGACAAGACACAAATTCTCGTATTACAAACAACACTTAGTTTTACTAGCTTTTTGTAAGCTACATTGCAAGCAACTGTCATTTCTCTAACATAAATCCCAGATTTGAAAGAAGTCAGACTGGCACAGACTAGAAATAATTATTGGGAACTGCTTACTATCAATGCTGTGCCCACAGAAAAATTCTCAGCCATCTGCCCAGCACGAAACTTGCCACTGCAGCTATTAACACTGCTAGCAAAGTTGCCAACAACTGAACGGCCTGATAATGTAACGCTTTTCTCCCCGCAGTGAAGAGCAAGTCTTTTACAGCAGCAGAAAGCACAGATAAGCTGTAGCAAGGAGGCTTACATGTTTACTGCTTGTCATGCGACTGTTTGTAAACACAATGAAAGATTTGTTGCTTCAGGAGTACAAACTATCTTTCAGTAATATTTTTTTATTTATTGTAAATTCCTTCAAAAGACCATGGGGAGACAGCAACATGTAGAATTAAGGCTGGAATGACTTAAGAGCTTTTCCTCTTAGAGCTCAGTTTTAAGAGTTCGCTGTATTCTAATGTCATATATGTTTTGGATAACTGGAAAAAACAAACAGGGGATTTACAAAGAAAGCCAACTGGTCCTAACCCTGCGAACCATGTGATTTGACAGCGGTTCTTGCTATAGAAAGTCGACTCTGAAATGAACTGAGAGAAGATGAGTAGTTGCATATGAAAGCTTTCCTAAGGAAAGAAACACTTTGAAGATCCATTACATTCACGAACACAGCACTGGCAATGCTCAGTGGCTGTGTTTATAAAGAAAACGACATTATTGTTATATTGTCCTGCTTCTTTCTTGATTACTTTATTACTCTAATTTAGTATATATACTGTTCCATTACAGCATATACACTTGACATATGTCCAGTAAACAATACTGGTCTAAAGTCTAAAAGTGTCACTCAAGAAATTTCCAGTAGATGGCTTCTATGCATAAATTTGCAATTAACTTCTGGAGTCAAACAAGGGTCTTCCAGAAAACCTGGCTCAAAATATTTTTAAACTTACACTCAATAGATTCATATAAAAAAGGAACCACCTGCACATCTATCCTTTTCATGAACTATACATGCTCCACAAAGAGAAATTTAACAGCTGCAACTGGTTTGCTGGGATCACACCAAAAAAAGACAAAGAAAAGAGAAATAAAATTTATTATAAAACATGTTGAAATAGCAATGACTTAGCTGACTTCCTGCTCTGCTGTTCTAGGCAGAACAAAATGTGACTAAATGCTCTCAGGAAAGCCAAAACAAAATCACAGCATAAGTATGTTGCGGCACTAAAATCGTTTTCTCTTGATAATTTCTGGTTTCCAGCTGACAGGATGAGTTTCTTCAGTCTAAAGGGAAAAAAGAAAAATCTCATAAGGATAATTTTCAACTTCAAATTCACCTGTAATTAAGGGTGGGTTTAAAATATTACTCACATAGTGTATATATATATATGTGATTTCATATGTCACATTACCTAGTCTACTATGTAATTAATTTAGCCAAATGAAATTTTGTATCACCCCCACTGTCTGAAGTACATGACAATACCTGTTCTGGATATTTTATTTTTTTTTTTTTGCAACAAGGACAAAAATCATGTTGCCAAATGCATTTCAGAAACAAGACTGTAGTGATCAAAGCACAGGAATATGAATTCCAGAGACTGCCCTTCCAGTGATATTTACATCTGTACTGGCAGATGCCACAGAGCCTAAAGTTTGCCCAGTTACAAAATGGATAAAACATTGTTATTCCTTTATATCTAAGAGTTGCTCCAAGTCTAATTCAGTGCAAAAATACTAAGGTTTAATAAAAATCCTTATACTCTTTATATTGAAGACGCACTCCAATAAACTATATAATAATCTATTGTCTTCTCCATTAGTAAATGGATTCAGATTTGAGAACAACGGCTTGAAAATAAGGTATTTAACTCTGAATTCTAAAAATTGTCATGGCAAATAACTAATCTAGATCATATTAAGTAGTACAATAAGTCTTCCAGATTTAATCTTTTTGCTAATCCCCATGTTTTAATGAATACAACCACACACAGTCCCCCTACTGGGGCAATGTATATTATTTTATCAAGATTTCGCCAAACTGTATCATAAGGGACTTTTGCAGCAAAGTCAACGGATCTAAGACTTATTTGTACTATAGCATACAGAAAGAGATTAGGAGTGCAGAAACTAACTACTGTTCTCTTAACATTATTACATACACATTGCTTTCAAATGTTAATAAAATGGACTGTGCACCTCCCTTATTGATATACATAACATTTGAAATCTGTAGATTCAATGAAAACATGTTAAAAAGACACTTCGACCTACCGCAGTATCATCTTCTTTGTACACTTTTATGGTTTTATCAGCTTCAGCAGTTAGCAATCTGCTTTCTGACTGGTCAAAAACACAAGCAAATATTCCTGATTCACTGTCCAAAGAGCCTGGCTGTACAGCGGCATGTACTCTCTGGAAATTGTATCCAGTTCTCCAGTCCCAAAGATGCATAGTACCATTATCAGCTAAAACAAACAGACAAACATATTTAGTATTTTAACCGGTTAATTTGTATTGTTTTTCTAAAAACTGTATCATGAACAACTAAATACATCAGGAATACATCAGCTGCAACACGCAGGTAGAATAGGTCAGTACACCCTACAGGGTTTCCCATTTCCTACTGGTTTCCTTCTTAGTTAAGGAAGGCTGACTGATGGAAGCTTCCTCAGAATTGCGTTTAGTTTTGCATCAGATAACCCAGAGACAATATACTACATCACAAAGCAATTGTAGTAAGTCACTTTGGAAGCAAAGTAAGGACTGGCATTCTGAAGCTCCCTGTTCAGTATCTCCACTAAAACTGAACAGAGGTATCATCCTCTCAAACAGATGACAGACATTAAGGAGTCTGTAATGGTACCTAGGCTTAATGTTTGCAGAGATTCCATTTCAAATACTGTTTAAACCACTGCCAGTATTACTGCTACTGGCATCAGCTACAGGGTATTCACAGCAGTCTGAACCCTATATTCAGAAGGATGCTCTCAAAGCAATTTTTCAGTTACAAAAAACAATCCCCTCCCAAAGCATTATCTAATCAAAACAGATCTACTAAAAATTCCTCCACAGCTGCCAGCTAAACAAGAAATCCAGATGTTTCAAGAAGGGTGCTTCTACAGTAAAATACTCTAAGGTAACCTCAACTTATTTTAATTCAGCTTTAACTTCTTTGAAGTTGTTGTAGATAGCATGAGGACGTAAAGGGGTACGTGGGAATCAACATCCAAACTTAAATTTTTAAAAAAACTCACAAATAAGGTTACTAAAATGATTATTTTTTTTTTTTAGGTAGAGAAGGAACAACTTCTTCCAAAGCCTCAATTAATACTAACACAAAAATGTCCTACAGAGATATTCTAGAACAGTCTTCAAAATACTACAGAATGAAAATGAGCCCAGTCCAGTATTTTGTAAAGTTCTTGTTCTCACTATGAATGCACCAGCAGTCAAATGTGCATAACAATATTTCTGTATGTTTCAGTGAAGTTGTGAGTGCTTGTAGCTGGCTTATGCCATTACATTTCATATAGGGTCCAGTTTTACAAAAAGTGACAGTATTTCCGACAGCTTCCACGTTTAAAAAACTAATTAGGTCTTTAAGTGGTTTGTTTGACCCAAAAACTTTCTGCCTTAAATTATGTTGATTTAAATCAGCATATTACAGTCCTGGTTCATTAATATTATTATGGCCTGTTAGGTTTAGACCCACCAGTATTTAAAAAAAACAAATAAACCTAACCCCCTTTTTTTCTATCAAAAGGGTAGGACCCTCTTTTTGACCGTGTAAAAATGGGACAATTTTCTGATTATCACATTTGGTTGCCTGTTAGAAGATCCAGGTTCAGATCCTGTACAGACTAAGATTTCAATAACACATACTTCCACCAAAATATTTTTATTACAGTGCTTGGGTAACTAATATCTAGAAAAATGCTACCTGCTATATGAGATAAATGTTCTTACATGAAATTATTCAGTATCAGATAGAGAAAGCATTCAGGATTCTCCTCCTACCCCCACAACGCAGATACATGAACACAAACGAGTAGTTCCCAGACTCAGCTACAACTAGTAGCTCACAGACCACTAACAATACTTATCAGCTGATTATTAAATTCTTGAAGCTTTTGAGTGAAAGAATTAAATCGATGTGTCAAAATACACACAAAATCTTCCCACTGGAGCCAAGTGGCTAGTTTCTTAATTTCAGAACACCTGAACATATAACATTACTGAGTAAACATGGTTTTGATTCACAGAACCAAATAAAATTTGGAGACTAGCTGTCAATCTTTTGAACAATACAAAAATCAGAAAATGTGTGCAAGAAGCTTCAAGACAACAGAACCAATGCATTTGTACTGCATAAAAAAGTCCCCAGGGAAGTGTTCACATGTAAACAGTACAGCAAGCTTTGCAAGATGCTTCTATATCCTCTATCCATTCTCACCGCATCAACATGTTACTAACAGAGAGCAGCCAACAAAGAGCCAGATGTCTCCCAGGCAGCTTCCAATTTCCACACCACTCCTGAGGGGACACTAATGATTCAGACTCAGGAGATCATAGAGGATGGACTCTGGAGCCTTGCAGCAGCAGTCAACCGAGAAGAGGAAACCTCTTCCCTGCTGTAGATTAAAAGTCCTTTCAAATACATTTTTATGCGTGCAGCTCAGTAACACCCAAGAAAATCGCCCTACTGTAGCCCTACTCACTACAAAAAGAAGCTGTATGCTGTACCAGGCTTATAGGCCCCGATAAAGGAGAGCTCAGCGAGCATCTTTGTCTAAGGACCTCCAGCCATGCATACGTAGCGGAGCAGAGAAGGGAAATCTGAACGTGTATTTCTCATTTTACCTCCTGAGACCAGAACACCATCGGAATTTACAGCCAGCGTGTTGATAATAGCATTGTGACCAGAGAGGTTCTGAATGAAATTTCCATCTGGGAATTTCCACTGTTTAATATTATCTGGAGAACCAGATGCAAATGTGTAACTGCAAGAAAATAAGCACAGTGTATTAAAGTTCAAAACAGCTGTAGGGATAGCAGACATCCTTCAGCGAAACTACCGTTAAATGCTAGTTGCAAAGTTACTTAATACTGAAACTGCTTTCCTGACATTTTTACTTTGCATAAAATGAAGCAATTTTATGAGGTCATGAGTTACCTCTCTGCTTCCTTTCTATTCCACAGACCACCTAAACTTTTTAAATCCTATGCCATATAGGATCTCGATATGCAAACAAACATTAAAAAGGCACATTAAGTCAGTTGTTATTCTGGCAAATTTTCAGGTATAAGGGCAACATCAGCAAAGGTATCAGGAAAAAAAACGAAACAAAACCCCCAGTATTGGCCAGTCCTCTAAAACTACATGACCAAGTATAAAGCACTGCAAAAAAGTGAACTGTGAAAGACAATTTGTTTTACTGAGTTACCCTAAAATAATCAATTCCCTCATTTTAACATGTCGAAGCAGTTAACGAGGTTATTTGGATAAGACATACAAAATCCTGTATCAATACTTTCAGTTGCCACAAAGTCTAAGTGACCTGCTTCTATTTAATAGATTCATCAAGAACAAAATAGATTATAAGGAAAAAACACTGGAATATTAAAAAATATAGAAATACTGTAATATAAAAAAAATACTAAGCTGACAGTTGCTACTGCTTCATAAACAACACTTCAAGTCTTTTTTCAAAGACTGATGAATCGGAAACCAGACTTTTTTTTGGCAGAATATAAGTAAAACTAGGGTTTTTCTCTGCTATAGCTAACAAGCATAGCGTGAGATTTTTATAGTTTTCTTTCAGACATAGGTTGGATCAGAACTGATTCATATCAAAGAATCTGAATTTCTGCACTGACAGAATTTCACCTTAAAATATTGAAGGTACAGAAGTATTGCAGTTCTATGTGAATTTCTTTTCTCCATTGTTTTAATGGGGATTTATCTGAAGAGGCAACTGATGCATCAAAATATAGTATCTAAATTCAGAGTACTTTCAACACCACCTGCTTCAAAGATTAATTACTTACAAGAAGCTTCTTTTCAAGGTCAGTTAAAGTGTCTTGTGCAGTGAACCACATATTCAAAAAAACATTTTGTAATAATCACTGTCTCATTTAGCATTATTCCCACACGTGCCATTTTACAAAACCACTTCACTTTCTGCTAACAATCATTCAGTTACACATTTATTACTAGCCTTGCAAGCCCAGTGTCACTGGTTTCCCCAACAACTGTAATCCAAGGGACATACATAAGAAATTGTCCGACGTAAGACATTCTCACGATTGCTAATGTACACTAGTGCCAATACTTGGGGAGCACAATCAGTATAGCAAAGATATTTTAGAACTGACATGTACATTTTCACAGCATTTTAAGCTCATTAGTTTTTCACATTATTATGCCCTACCATTCAAATCGTTGCTCACACTGGCTTTCTGTCAACATCAAATGTTATGAACTGTGAAAGTGTTAAAGAATGAGGAAAACTTACTGTCTCGGATGTAGCACTACTGCTCTTACAGATTTCTTGTGATTTGTTAAAGTAACACGAGTTTTTCCTGCCACTAAATCCCACAGCCGTATGGTAGTATCATGACTGCCTGCAATGAAAAGAAAATAAAAAATCGTAGAAACCATCATGTTGATTCTATCATCACTATTACTTTGATAAGTCAGTCAAAACTTTATATGCGAAAGAGAAAAATATTATTAATGTTTGTTACAAAAATGTGATACTAATACCACCTCAGATAAGATGCTGGGTTGCAATAGTCAGGAAACAAAGATGCATATAGTCAGAAAGCAGAAAATGCAAGTCTCAATACATATTACAACAAAAAGTGTACACACCAGAAACAAAGGAAGTGCAGAAAAACATTCAAACAATGCGTAGTTATATTTGCTTAAACGTACCATTAATAGTATGAAATAACCATTGCATGGCACATTTTCAACAGAAAACTAGTAAGAGAAATTGAATAAATTAACAAAGATAACATTATGAACCTCACAATTACTAAGCAGACACATTCACAATTACATTTTACAATCATATAACTTGTGAAACCACACCCATTATACCTGTAATAATTTGTGGTTCTGCAGCTTGGCATTTCACTGTCGCTACTGCATTCGTGTGTCCTGACAGCGTGTGCACGCTGGCTTTCGTCCTCACATCCCAAATCTAGGATTTCACAGTAAAGAAGTCACGGAGGTCAATAACAGGTGTATATTCAATGTACGTTAGGCACTGTTATTGATTACATTAATTCCTTGCCATAGTTCTACAGATTTAACAATGGTATTTAGGTTGGGGTTTTCTCATCCAACAACTAATGACACAACTGGCTCAGCGGGCAAATTTCAAGGGGAGCAGGGAGCCTGCCACTAAATTTCTAGGCATAAAGATAACAAAGTCACCACAAAACCATACTATCTTCTAAATACAACAAAGCAATGTTATATGTACTATGTAGTCTACCTACCAAATTAAGAAAGAAAACATTCTCCTGAAGTGACACTGCATTTTTGTGTATCCAAGCTTCAGGTTTTATGAACAACAGAAGACAACGTTAACATAAATCTTGGTATTTTCATCTTGATTCATGTTAACTTTTGGTAAGCATTCACTTTTACAAACAGAAGCTACTGAAACACACTGACATATCAAGATGTGAAAATGTTAACAATGCTATACTTACACGTGCTGTTGAATCTCTGCTACATGTCACCAGTACATCTATTGTTGGATGCAAGTCTAAACCATAGACAGCGCTTAGATGACCATGGTAGTGTCTGATAACCTAGATGAATAAAAAAAAAAATAAATGCACACACGCTAATCGGATATTTGAAAGACTATTCTAAATGCTTCGATTTTTATATTTGTCACCATCAAGTTACTCCAATTAAAGAAACTACAGCTTACCTTATTGTATTCAAGATCCCAGCACTTCACTTGTTTGTCTTCTCCACAAGAAAAGAGGTATGGACTTCTTGCACTTACTATCACCCCTCGTACAGTACTGATGTGTCCCGTCAAAGACAATTTCAATTTGCCACTAGCAAGGTCCCAAATCTGCATCAAAATTAGGTATTTTGAGGTAAACAGGTAAAAGCTACACATTGGTAGTCTGGGTAAACGTCCCAGATGTAACTGATCGTGCTGCATTTTAAATTGAAAATTATAAATATCATAAAGGTTTGCTCTCCAACTACTAACATGGAATAAATGAAGTCTCAAGAAGTAGCAATACTCCACAAATCCTTTACGACAAGGTAAGAAAAAAAAAAATATTCTGCATGTCATTATTTGCAAGCAGTAACCAAGAAACTGTTTCCAAGGGCTGAAGTCTTTTTTAAAATAAGACACCAAAAAACCACCCCCAGCAAACTTTGTCAGTGATTTCTTCTAACCTCTTACCTTTATAGTTCTGTCGGCAGAGCCAGTAACAAACCACTGATTTCCTGGTTCTACTGCAATGCATCTCACCCAGCCCAGGTGACCACTGATAACCTTCAGAAAAAACAAAAATGTTTCTAAATCAGAAATAATACACATACATCTGTCAATATAATTTTTATTCTCCAACACTGGATTTCGTTAGTATTCCCCAAGAAATGCTTGCTCCCCAAAAACATTAAATTAGATCTGAAGAGAGCTTGATTTCTACTTTAGTTAAATGAATAGACTACTGGAAATTCACCATCATACACCAGAGTTGGTGAACTTGCACTACAGAAAGACCCTGCTCCTATAAGCAACTTTTCCAAATCCTTTGAGAGACCATAACACTGTGGCTCAACACTTGAGGCTTTGCAGAGAAAGACTTTACTTAAGCACAAGTTCCTCATGCCACTGTATCGTGCTTATACAATAACAGTTAAAGAACAATTATATAAGATCTTGGCTATTAAATCACATTACCATATAATAGCTAACTCTCAAAGCACACCACTACCTCCCCAAATAAGGGATAATATGAGTACGTCAGAAAGTTTCTGGTAACAAAACACTGGAGCACAGATCTCACAAGCTCTATCAACACACGGCTTGCTTACAGCAGCCTTTGTTTCTCTAATTTCTCTGAAGTCAGACAGCTAAAATCAAAACATACATTTGGTTTCACTGGATGTCATATTTCACGTACTGTCATACAGCTCATTTCAAAAGATGTAAAACAAAACAAAAGTTCTTGGGCTGAATTAAGGCAGAAATATTTTGGAAAACTAAAGTGGATGCTTCTGACCAGATGAGACCACAGCCACATACACTTGAGATAGTTGTCTGAATTCTTCATAGTCTAGGAATAGAAATGAGCATTTCCAGGGGAGAAATATAAGAAATAATTCGTCTGACCTATTCTAAATCCCCATGTTTCACAAATGACTTCAAACCAAGCTTAGGAAGACCAGTTAAAATGCAGACCTTAAGCAACAGACAAAACAAAACTGACATTTGGTGTTCCAGCTATGCTTCTGAGTTGCTTGAACAAGCTTTTATCCCACTGAGCAAGCATTTTGACAGCAAACCTCCACTAAAACTGTTAACATGCAGAATTAGTACAGTGACTTGAATTGTATTAACACTCTCTCTCAAAAGAAAGTGCTCCTAACAAGTAGGCATTTTTTATTTGTCTACCTTCAAATCCCTCACCGGTTTATTTTGGTGCCTTTTTGTCAAATTGCATTTGCCTTAAATTTTATATAGAGCACATTCTAACACTGCTGTATTCAGAAAACCTACATATTCCTTTGAGCTCAAGTGTTTTTAAAAAAATTACTTTGAGATTAGCTTTAAGATTTACAACTAATACAGCATTCAGGACTCTTCTGAAGATCTAAACGCCTACCTATGGTGCTATATTTAGATGAACAGTGCTAAACGAATACAATTCTGATACTTGAGCATGAGATTTTTAAATATCAGGAAAGCCTAACATTCCTAAAATATTCACCCTTTCTCAGAGAAAATACGAAATTGCTTGAGTTTCATAGTAAGAATCAGTCGCTTAGAAAAAAAAACAAAAAACACGTTCAAACAGATGCACCTGAAAGTTAAAAAGATCTGAACCAATACATAAGCTTTGAGATTTTCCTTTCAACTCAGCTACCCTGCCATACTCATCACCAAAACGTTTAAAGATGACAGATTTTGAGGCAATGGCTATTTTTACTCCCTAAGAAAATTAAAAGGCAAATCAGACTAATCCAAAAAGAAGACTAAAAGTCAAGCAGTCTAAACTACAGCGATTTGTGATTGCGCCAGCTTTTTTCCCCATTTTCATAGCAAGTAAAAGTCTGTCTGACTCAGACACCAACTGCCTTTAAGTGTTTCCAGAGACAATTTCGTTACATTAGCATTGCTAGACTATTTTTTTAACATGTTACTAGTTTCAAATTTTGCACCTTGTCTTTGAGTTCCTCTACCAAAGAATCTGACTAGAAAAAACAAACTCTAATGAATTTGTAATACAGCTAAACCTATGTAAACAAAAGGGTAAAATTAATAATGCTCACAAAATAATTTACTAACCAGAAAAATGCTTGTAATCTAATCTCTTTGTTCTTTAAGGACAGAATGCACATATATATCTCAGTTGTGACCACTTTTCATTTGATTTCATTTTTGTGAATGAGAAGAGAAATTATGCTTTGAAGTCTTTATAGAACATAAAATACTCATTTACTTTTATATGCATGTTCATGTTATACTTACCCTGTACAGTTTCCAAGGTGGATGCCACTGAGGTTTGGGCATGGTTGGAGCCTTCTTTGCCATTAACGCAGTATTTTTGTTTCCACCGGCTTCCACCATAGCCTGTAAGTTAAAAGGAAAGTTACTCTTATGCTTTATAACTTACCTCTTTGTGTAAAATCTAAAGCCTTCTCCTTCTGACATCTCAACATTGATTAAATTTAGTCAGTCAGCAGATGTCCACACAACACAAACAAATCCAGAAGCAATCTGGTGAACACTATATAGTTCTCACATCAGATGCGCAACAAACTCACCACGGACATTCCAGGAGGCTGCGAACGCTCGGATATTCCAGCATGCCTGTAAATATCACCCACACCAGCAGCTGTCCGGTTTGCATCCATCCTAGGTTGAATGAAAATGGTAGGTGGATTGGAATCAACTTTGTCTTTCACGAAGTGATAAGGTATCAGAGGGCTGCATCCAGTCAAGTGCTGTACATCTCCAAGGACGGAGACTCCACAACCTCTCTGGACAACCTCTTCCAGTGCCTGATCACCTCAAGGTAAGACACCCACAAAAAAAAGCCTCACTTTTCTCGTATCTAAACAGGATTTCCCTCATTCCAACTTCTGCCCATTGCATCTTATGCCATCCAAGAAAAAAAAAAAAACATACAGAAAAACGATGCCTGGCTGCAATAAAAGTAAATTCTTTAAACATTTTATAAATTATAGCATTCAAAATACTCAAAGTAGTTCTTATTCTGCCTGCTGTGTTTTGCCTTGAAATTCCCACAGATAACAAAAGCGTTTATGAAGTAACACAGCAGTACCTGGACTGAGAAGCAGGAAGTGCTACGGCTAAGGACTGTGCTGCAGATTCACTAGGCATCCTCTGGACCTTAGTATCTGCTGTCAGAGCCACACCTTGAAAAAAATAACACAGCAAAAGCAAAGACAACTCTGTTAAAAAGAAAATTCAGACGAGAATATTACACAAGCACATACAGCTGCAAACCAGGGCTTGTCACACCCCTGTAATATTAAATCCCATCATTCAACAATATTATTTTTCACATGCAAGTCAAATCTACTAAAATTTTTATTTTGGCCGAAATTCTTTCCCTCTTCATTCTACTACATACGTAGGTACACAATTTCTAGAGTAGAAAGCTATATGATTTTTTTAATTGGAAAAAAAAAGCCTACCTAGGAGAAGCATCCATCTTTTCATCCAGCTTCAACTACTATGGAAATACAAATATCACAGAAAAAAAACACGTTCTTGAGAAGTATTTGCTAACTTAGGTCCTTTAGTGCAGTTTATTATGCCATCCCTATGTGGTGGTCAGTATCATACAGTGATGCCAGAACTACAAAAGGCTTAGTCCTACTGAAATAAGAACTTCAGACTACAACTTACAATTTGTAACATCTCCCTAAGAAGAGCAGATCACTTTTTTTAAAATCTAAAAACTTTGCAAAGTGTAGTTCTGGTGCAGACTGGTGAATCTATTCCACTCCATCTTCTGTTTTTCTTTCCCTAACCAAAGTTTGGCAGTTAACAAAGCCAATATTTGGGCGAGATATCCAGGTTAAAACAAGAAACAACAAAGAAAGAAATTTCATTTTTAACCATGACTTATCTGATTCTATTAAAACAACACTGAACTTGAAGAAACGTCTGGGAGCAAGTCTTGTCCCGACAGTTACAGTCAACTATGCACGTTTTTTTAATGACTGAGGGTCCATTGAACACTCACATTTGTTAACTTGCAAATCAAGCCACAACACATTTCCCACCATACTGTAATAAACTTAAGCACTAACAGTGAAAGATCAACAGCTAAAACTAAGCTGCTACAGGGAGAGAGCAGGACTGATGACAGTAACATTTAGCAATGGCCAATGTCATAACACAGAAACATAACCCTTCCAAGCACAGACAAAACCAAATGAAACTAAAATCATTAGACCCCAATGTCTCTTTCTCAGAGCAAGGTGGTGATACCCACACCTTTCTGCTCTAGTAAGGAAAAGCAGGATATATTCCCTCTTGTCATTCAAAGTCCTTCTAGCTGGAACCCCCCTCCTTGTACACAACAAAATTCTAAGAGCAGCTCCACCACAACAGTGGAGGCACCAGGGATCTGTGGGTCTTGGCAACCTCTCCAAGAGAAAGAGGACCACAATATCAGAGAGGGGATTCCTAGAATGTTTTTTGATGATGTTACCACAGGAGGTGAAATCTCATAGAAATGAATGACCATCTCACAGCAAACTCACATCCACTGAGGCTTAGTGAGAAGACACTGCATCTGTGTACCTACTAAATCCTCCTACCTCCTATCCCAGAACATTTATCAGCCACAAAACCTTCTGCATCAATACTATGAAAGTATTGATGAAGAAATGGCAATTCCCACTAATAAGGGCTATAAATTCAAAGCAATGGGAAGCCTGCTCCTGCTAGGATGGAGGACGCCTACTTCTGACAGGAAGGCAAAAATCCTAGGCAAACACTCACAGAATTTTACTTACCAGGCCCAGGTGGGTATGGATGTGTACCGGTTATCAAATACTCAAGTTCTTGTCCTAAAGAGCAACAAAATTTCATATTAATAATTAAATTTTATACTGCACTCCAAATGATGCACTCAAACAGGAGCAGGTCACACACAGCAGAAGGAACCAGCAATCACTTCTAATATACTACACTTAGACATTTCTTATTTTCATTAATTTCTTTTGTTCTGGTCAACTCGGTTTTCAAAAATTCAAGACTCAAATAACATTTTTAAAATACTGATGCCACTTGTTATTAAGAAGGACTCTCCCTCAAGAGAAAAGCTGTCATACTGCCAAAGATGCCTTTTGAAATAGATATCATGGAAAAGGATTCAAGTACACAAATAGCATGGGTGTCTGAAACCTAAGCTAGTCACAACTCACTGTGCGTGGTATCAGGACAGAAAAATTCTCCTTAAAATATTTTTCATTATCTCTCAATATCTTTTATTCTCAGAATACTTCCAAATAAAGTACCTTGAAAAAATAAATCACCTAAAGTAAGGCAGCATTTGGCAGAAGTTTCTGTATGGGATCTACCTACTACATACACATTTTATACATAACCAAACATAGGTTGGGAAAAAAAAAAACCACCACAGATTTAAAATAAAGATTTCCCTGTTTTAATAGCTGCACACCTGAAAAAAATCTATGAAACAAAATAAAGAAAAAAACAAAAAAGCATGTCCTTGACCATCACGAACTTGTAAAAAGAAGAAATACATTACTGATCTTTCTGTTTCTAGCACTTAAGAACAGCACACAGTAGCGTTACCATAAAAAATTACTCATTTTACTAATGAGTTACTGTAAAAATTTCACAGGACTATACTATTCTTTTGTTAAAACAAACTTCCTCCTTGTTCTGAATCACTTCTTGCAGACCCTAGCAAGAAAAATAGCAAACAATAAGAAAAATGGTATTTTGATTTCTGTCTCTACCTCCAATGGATTAACATTAGACTGCATTCTTCAGATTTTACATCAGCGAGGCTGTCACAAAAGAAAAGACAGATATAGCACTAGGAGCAAACTAACCTTGATTTCCAGAATACTGTTTGTGTCCATAAGGATCCCCGGTGTTTGGGCCTCCTTTCTCTCTCAAGTTTTCTTTGAGAGTAGGCATATGTAACACTGAGCCGTACTCTGTACGCAGCTTGACTGCCATCTTTACTTTGTGACTGTTGGAAGAGTAAACCATAATCCTGATTAAACCTCGAGTTCGGAACTGTTATTCGGTTTTGAAATACTTTAGAGAAGGTTTATACAAATTGCTTTACAATTCTAATGTTCTTTCCTCCCTCAAGACTACACTCTTAACTGTACAGAAATGTCTGAACTTCTGACCTGGATGAAGCAATCGCTAATATAATCTAAAGTTTTGAGGCATACCAGTTATTCACTAATTGCAGTGCTTACCTTTCTTCATCTAATGGAATAGGCTTGGCATTATCAGCTACAAACATATCATGGGTTCTCTTCAAAGATCTGAACACAAGTGTGTGCACAGAATGCTTTTGCACTTCCTAAAATAAAATAAAAAAAGAATATTTAAATACATTTGGATATAATTAAATGAAAAATTGAAAATGCAAACATAAATTGAACTGAGTAGCAATTTCACACTTCAGTACTGTTAGACAATACAGCACTATTTAGTTCACAGAAAACACCACTCTTGGAAACTAAAAAAAAAGTTAAGTTTGTCTGTTAACTGTTTTAATTCAGTATCTATTCAAAATAACACTCATTTTCTTGGAAACTGCCCAGATTTTGAAAAGCAAGCCAAAAACTTTAATCCAACTTTCTGCACTGGCTTCTACCATGACAAATCCATGAGCATGCAAGCTTTTTCCCTCGTGCTTTCTAGTTCTGTTTGCATACGTAGGCAATCAAGTAACCTATTCTGAAAACATTCCTGTAAATTTTATTTCACTACCACCATAAAAAGAACAGGGGGAATCATCAGTTTCTGTGTACATACTCAAAATGTCATTCAGGAACTAACAAGCAGCATTAAAAAGCCATTAACTTACATAAAATATTTGCTTATGACCAGCATGATTCAGTTTATTAATATTTTCCTCCAAACAGACAAAAAATTCGTTAGAGATCTCGGCCTGCTTGCTTACGTATAAAACCAAACTCTCTGCATGCCTGTATTTGTTCTGTATGTCATACAAACAACGACAACAAACTGGAAGCTACATTAATAACTTTTGGCATTGGACATCACTCAGCTGCCCAGTCTCCAAGACTCATTACATAGATGCTTTCCCTGTTAAGCTCTTTGTAGGTTCTGTGGGTTCTGCTTTCCTGTCCTGGAAGCTGTCCACTCATGAATCCATTCTGCAGTGGCTGTTACCCTCCAAACTCAGTAGCACCTACACAAAGTGTTCGCTCTGTCTCTTTAAGCTCCTGCAAACCCAGGTATCAAGTAAAAAAAAAAACAAAACAACCAAACCCAGCACTTGGAATTAGGTTAGGAATTTCATACAACTGGAAAAAGAAATAAGAATTACAGTAGCTAATTACTATTCAACAACAGCAGCTGTCAAAACCACCACAGAAGTAGCAGATAACGCAATGCCTCCCCAATAGGGAAGAAGCATCTACAAACATTTTTTGACAGAGACACCACTCCGCAAAAAAAAAGCTAGTAGTGTTACGTGAAGCAGCAGTCTTTGCATTTTCTTCCATGCTCCTGACAACAACACTTGCTTTTAGAAGTGCACGATATTCACTCCACTATTCCACAGCCTATAAAACAGGTGGCTTTCTCCCCAGCTTTATTTCCAAGCCAAAACAGCTACCGTTTTCTTGACTAGCTGACAAAGCCACTAAGTCACTGGAGGCTGGCCATCACAGCACACCCCCCCCAGCACCAATTCCGCACCCGGCGTTAAGCCTGGCAAACCAAAACTGCCGCCTGCTGCTTGCTTCTGCCCCAGACGCACACGGCTCACGGCCCCGCACCACGGCCCCGGCCAGGCTGAGGCCACAGCCCTCATAACCGGCGAGAAACACCCCTACCGCTCCCTGCTGGCACCTCGCTGTCCGCCGGGGTGGACTGGGCAGGGGCTGGGAAGGCGCACGGACCTCCACGGTCTGTCCCCACCGCGGCGCTTTCGTACCAAGGGGGAAGTGAGGGTGACGGGAGCGGCGCGGGGTGCGGTAGACCCCCTTTCCTTTCCTTCCCTTCCCTTCCCCTCCCCCGCCCGGCCCACGGGCCCAATCCGCCCCGCTGCCCCGGCAGCGCTCTCCAGTCTCGCCCGGGGCACCCCAACGGCGAGGCAGGCAGGGCTCGAGGGGCACAGCGGCCGCCGGCCGACACCACCCCTCACCCTTCCCCGCCCCTCACCTCCACCATGGCGCCGGCGAACTCCCACCGCCACGGCTCTCGGCGGAACGCTATGGAGGCACTTCCGGCGCCTGCTCCGCAACGCACCGGAAGTGACGCACCGCGAGGGGCGGGTTACATAAAGAGAGGGGCGTGGTCTGGAGGCGGGGGCGGGGCTTACCAGAACCCTCGCTGCAGGCCGGGGGTCGGGGGTTCGAGTCCCGGGGGCGCTGCGGGAGCGCGGGGCCCGAGGGGGGAGGGAAGAGAGAGGTGCCCATGCGGGACACGCTTCTCCCAAGCGCCGCCCCCCGCGACGGGAGGGCTGCAGTGACGGGTACCGACCAGGAGAGTGCAATATTCAGCTTTGTGAGAGGCACCGGGTATCTTGCTGAGCCTGCCCCAGAGCGATGAGGGTGTAGGGGACATCTGTGCAATGGTTTCCCACGCTGAGGGACTGAATACGCTCTGGTCGGCCTGATTTTGCAGAAATGCTTGGGCTTTGCAGTTGTTTTGGGTCGTGCAGCTGCAGCTTTTAAGTGTTATTTCCTTTGTGAGTTCTGAAGGAACCGGGAACCACACAAAATGAGGGGGATGTGGGAAAAAGAGTGCCGAGTCTGAAACGCAACCTCTAAACCAAAGAAGACAGTGTGATACGGGACGCTAACCGTTATACCCGGTAACCGCCTCATGGATAAAGTACCTTTAATTCGGGTGCACAGGGCCTCCTCTGGAAGGGGACCGCAGTTGTGGCCGAACCAGCGGCACCGCTGTCCCTCCTGGCGAGGAGCGTGCTTACCGAAAGGGCAGGGCTCGGAGTTCTCAAAACGGATCCTGACGCTCCAGCAGATTTTTCGCTTGCCTTCACGAGCAGAATAACCCAATGCACCTGCGCAAAGCACAAATAGGCACCCACTTTCTTCACGTATAACTCATCTGCTCTTAAAGCCAGGTGGTCTTGTCCCCCCTGCCTAAAGCTGGGATTTAATGAGCGCATCTTTTGCAGCCCCACCATCGTGTTGCTCTTCTTTACCACTCTGCAGCCACTTGCTACATCTGCCCGCGTGCCTGAGCTGTGAATGGCTTGCAAACTGTTTGGGGGCTAAAAATAATCTAGTGCAACATCCGTTGGTTCAAACCTGTCCTCTTTGTTACTCAGAGGATGGCGTTAGCCTGGGATTATTTCCGGCACACGAATTGCCTGCTTGACGTAACACCCATCTCTTCTGTTTTCTGGAGCTGACGGATCATTTCTGGCGGCTGCACTGGGGGTTTATATTTAATTATTTAGGATACGGGGATAGCTAGAAATGTGCTCCACGTGGCTTTGACCCCCAGTGCCTGGTCTGGGGTCGAGGTGGGGGTGAGATGTCCATTACTCCCTGCCACTAACAGTGCCGGCTCAGTTTCGAGCCAAGCCAGCCAGGTTTCATGTTTAACAGGAGGACCTATTTTGGTAATCCCTCCGGTGATGCCGGGCATCCCTGCTGGGTTTCGGAGCCTCCGGTAAAGGTCAGCATGGCACCTGGAGGAGGGGGAGCATCGTCTGTCCTTGCTTAAAGTGCGAGCTAGAGTGGAAACTCCAGGGGGCAGTGTGTCAAAATGGGGCAAGTCTGTTGCGTCCTCCTGGGCTGGTGAGGTTAGACTGAAGATACACAAGGTTTAAAAAGGAGATTTGGGGAGCAAGGGATTTCAAACCATTGTTTTTTTTAAGTTTACACACAGAGTAGCGTGTGCCTGTTGATTGGTCAGTTGACAGATCCGTGGATTTGCTGTGTGGAAATGGTTTAAGGGCTAATCTCTGGCAACATGCAGAGTGTCACAATACCGTTGTTTCCTTTCTATTGTCTGTTAAAGGAAAACAGGCTTGATTTTTTGTCTGCCTTTTTGAAGGAAACCAAATTTGAAATACAGACCCTTGTAACAGTCCAGGACAAAAATTCTCCATTTATATTTTGTGAAAAAACTTCACTCGTATATGCTGTGTATTACTATTGTTATTAGTGTTCACACGGCCCTGTAGTTGTTCTCATTTTTTTACAAGTAAACATTCTCCTCAGAAATTTGTAATCTCAGCTTATTTCCAGGTGTCCTTCTAACGCTTTGGAAAATTAGAGGACGAATTAATCTCTGTAATAATTTTTTCTAGAAGATTTAGTCTAAGGTGAAATTTAATCCCAGAACTTCAATAAATCATGTCAGCAATATTAATTAGAATATGCACTTTATTCATTTTCTTTATTACATGCAGCTACTTGATGTCTTCTTGCATGTCAGCTACAGCTGCAATTCCGGAAATAACAAACTATGTAATTTTTTATAAGTCACTACTTAGAAGAAGGTGACTAGTTAGTTACCTGTGCTTTTAGTGCTGTTTTAAGGTCAAAGTGAACAGCCCCACTCATAAATATTTAAGAACTTGCTTGCTTCCAGAACATGAAGATAGCATTAATTCTCATTTACAAGAACCCTTTGAAGTAATATTTGTTACCGGTAAAAGCAAGAAATTAGGATGTTCATCTCAGCAGAGATGAACATTTAAGTTTACAGTATTCTTTTCGTAGTACGACGCTATTACAACACTAGTTGTTTAAAAGGACATTTCTAAATCAACTGCTATTTTTAAATTTATTTTAGCAAACACTGTAGCTCATCGTGGCCCAAGAAGGTTTTGTTCCCCCACTCCAAGACCACCTCGGGGGGCACACTGGGCTCTGAAGAGCCGTGATCCAGTGACCGTGACTCGCCGATGGGGGTTTGTGTAAAGAGGGTTGCACCACTGGCAGGCACGGCGGCACCACAAACACAAGGGGCACGAGCAAATAGTCATTCCTCAAAACACACACATACGCCTCTGCCAGTAAGTGCCTCTTCAGTACAAAAATACTGTACAAAGGGATGTCCGGGAACACCATCAGGTCCACGTTGTGTTATTAGAAGTCCTAATAGCACGTGTGTTTTGGTGTGTTAACTACCACGTTAACTCCGGGAACAGTTTCTCATTAACCGTATGAGTTGGAGAAGGCAATATGAAGGGAAAACGATTAGGTGTCCCGTTTTGAAGAGAAAGCCTCTTTGATATCATTTTTAGAAGAAATTTAAAACATGGTTTTGGTTATTCATAAGCCTTCATTCAATCCTTAGAAAGTGTCAGCCTAACCGTAATGGTTGCAAGCATGAGAGAAAAAATTACATCTCATAACCAGCTTGTTAACTAATGTAGATTATGTTCTGCTACCAAAATGTTTTTCTATATATGTGTATGTTTGCTGGTATAGTTTGCTCTGTATGCAGTTCCAGATTTGGACTTTTTTTCTGATAAAACTCTGCAGGCAAAACCTTTGCAGTGTAGACAAGGCCTCTGCTTACCAGATGAGCAGTCGCCCCATACCCATCCTGGGGCATCTGCTCATTTCACACAAAGCCGGAAACCCTCTGTGGTATGACATACACGTGTCATTCATGGTAAATCCCCAGGCCGACACAACCACTCTTGGGGAAGCCAATGAAACCTACTGGAGCCGGGAGGATCAAAGGCTGAGTTCCAAAGGGGAAATCCCATCTGCAGGCAGATGAAGCCTGGGGTTTTCCCGTGCTGGGACTCTGCAGCGGGCTTGGGGGTCATTCGGTCCCCAACATCCTCTGCACAGACACAACCACGCTTCTTCATAGCGGGGTGAAGAGTACTTAATGCCTGAAGAAGGCACCGAAGTTACTGCAGAGCATGGTGATGGTTTCAGAATGGATTTAGGACAAATATCGTACATGAGCCAGGATAATTTAAGAGTAAGTTTCTAGCTCAGGACTAGTGAGACCTCGTTTTAGTTCTGCTGTATCACGAGCTACCCCTAAAGCCTGGGCAAGGGTTCAGCATCACTGTGTCCCTTCCTTATACGTAAGATGAGGGTGACTGAACTTCCCTCAGAGGTACATGGGGGGAAAACTGCAGTTAAGGTTGGGAGATGCCCAGAATCAGTGATAATGTCTTGACTAGCATCTTTAAGTGGAAATAACATGTTAATGATGTCAGTTTTGGCCTTAGGCAGAGTTCTTTAATGCCTGTAGGGAGAAGCTTGTGTTCTTCCAAATCTAATAGTGTTGGTGATGTCCTCATACGAGGGATCAAATTCAGTGGAGTTAGGGCTCCTTGAGCCATGGCTGATTTTGGTCCAAGCTGTTTAATAATTAAACCAGTCAGGTTAAACAGTTTTTGTGTTTCAGGAATCTCCATAGTTTACAAGAATTCTGACAACAGCACAAATACAGGAAAAAGGCCTAAACCAAGCAATTTTAGCTGTTCTCATCTTTTTTACCATAAAGTCTCCTGCTCCATCAAATTGGTCTTTGAAATGGAACCTCAGCTCACTGTTTGTGTCTCTTCATGTCTTCAGACATCAATATGAATGACTTCAGAAAAGTGTGCTGGCCCTCACTCAGCCCAGTTTATTTAATTCAGTATATTATGAGCATTTATAATGCACAGGAAAATCACAGGATATAACCAAAATGTTTAAACTCTGCTAATATGAAGGCAGCGATACGCCGTACTCTTTTAAAGCATCAGAAAGCATGGAGTGTTCCACTATGATTACAAATAACTTCATGCTGTATTCTTTTAAAAGATTATTAAAAATATTTAAATAAGGTCTGACAGATATACTTTTTGCATTAAAAAAGGAAATTAATATGTAAAATTTAATTATTTTACTTAATTTACATTGTCATACTGCTAAAGTAATGGAATAGCATTGTTTTATGCTCACAATATTAATCTGGTCTTTAATTAGATCAAAACAATGTTTTTATTCAAAATTATTAATGTAATAAACATAATATACTCGTTGTTGCTCTTGTGCTTAAAGAAATCCAAAGACTTGCATACCTATCCAGGCAACATCAGAACTATTTAGAAGAACGTAGCAGTCTGTATGATGTGAGTTTAATTCAAATTTAATACGATATTTCTGAAACATTCAAATTTTCAGCAGAGGGGAAAAAAAGGAGACATCACAGTGTGACATCTGATGATGTTTCTTTTCTTTGGATGTTC